GCCTGACAACACTTGCATCTAGGCCGATGTCAGTGAGATGGCTTTCGACCTCGGACACACCAATGCCGCTCCCGCGCTGAACAGTCAAACAAACACTCGGAAGTGCACGTGGCTCTCGTGTCACCCCTCGGTAAGCGTTTGACGGAGAATGACGGATGTGTCCAACAAACACGTCGATTACACCATTCATGCGATGAACGATAAGTAAAAGAACACATGCGCTCACTCAGCATTGCATGAATGTTCTTCTCCCTTTCGTAGCTGTGTGTCATGAGAGAAAGGTACAAACACGAAGAGACAGAGAATACCTCGCAGGTAAGGAGAGGACGCACACCACAAATCATGAAGGGACGGCAGGTATTGTGCAGTGGGGATGAAATACACGAATCATGAACCATGCAGCGGATCGAAGCACAAGACCTGTGAGAAGAGACCGCAAGTATCAAGGCTTACTTGACAGCAAGACACAACAACACAAGCCAAGATCAGCTCGACAAGCTGCGGGAAGCGATCCCAAGAGCATATTGATCAAGGCTTGGCGACATTTGCCTGCTTGATGGGATGGTGAGATTGGTCACGAGACACCAAGAGTACGGGCCCGTGTTGATCGTATCGAGGCCACTGCGTGCAGCAGCAATGAAGCTGCACCACGAGCACCTGCTTGGAGGGCACCTGGCAATCGAGAGACGTATCGAGAGAGCATACAAGAGGCTGGCAAGAGAGTATTATTGGCCTGGCATGTATGAGAGCCTACGGAGACACATAGACTCGTGTGCTGTATGTCAGAGCAAGCGCAGCCTGAGAATGAACAAGAGGCCAACCATACAGACACCGTCAGCGGACAGACCATTCCAGAGAATCGCAATGGATTACATCCAAACAATGGGCACTCACCATCCAGGATTGTTTCACCAAGTGGCCAGAAGTCGTCACTTTCAGCGAAGCCCCAACGGGAGAAGAGACAGCCAGTGCGCTTCTCGAAGTGGTTATTGCCAGGTATGGGCTGCCAGAAGAGATAATCACTGACAATGGCTCACATTTCGTGAATCAGCTGATGAAAGAAGTGACGACCAAGCTGAAAAGCAGGCACGTAACGACAACACCAGCACACCCACAGGGCAATGGCATGATTGAAAGGTTCAACCAGCACTCTGAATGCGTCCATACCTCGACGAGAAGCAGAGCAATTGGGACAAGGTGATCCCACTTGTCTTGTATGCATACCGCGCAGCAGAACACGAATCCGCCGGCTTCACGCCATTCAAAATGATGATAGGCAGAGAGGCGGTCCATTCAGGCAGTACCGTGCGATTGACCGCTGCAAATGAATCAGAAGCCACAACCATCGACCCAAAGGATGCTATCAACCTGATAATTGAAGGCATACAAGAAATTCATGAGAAGGCCCGCTCGAATATGGATAGGTCCAAACAAAAGGTCGCCGCCAGAGAGAGAGGACTGCCTGAGCCGAGGGAATTCAAGGCGGGAGACAGAGTGCGTGTGTTCAACAACCAAGCGCCGAAGGGCGTCAGCAAGAAACTCATTTCACCTTGGCGGACAGTAGCGATTGTGGAAGAAAGGACGGGCCCAGTCACCTGCAAGATCAGACCGTGCGGGTCACAAAAGGCAACAAACATCAATGTGGATCGATTGAAGGCAGCTTCGACTCAGGAGACGACCGATGATTACCAAAGCACTGAAGTGCCAGGCTCTTAGCTGAGGAGAGACAGACGGCAGACTGTGTTCAATCAGGATGCATTCCTGACCACAGAGCAGGAGGACGTATTGAAAGAATTCGCACTCGGATCAGATCATGTACCTGCCACAAGGAGACAGAGCGAGGCTCAGAATTCGACCCGATGGCACATGACCCAAGCCTCAAAGACATCCAGCCAGACGACCGATTTGACCGTGTAGAGAAACACGAAGTGCAGGCAGTGATCGGCAAGAGGAACCATCAGGGCAGAGTGCAATTCTAGACCCCGGCGGGACCGGGGGATGCACACGACAGCCCTTGTCCGTTTTTCCTTAGTGCAGAACACGTGCGTGAATTCCATCTAATGAGGGGTATGACGGGCATGTGCAACTGCAGTGCCATGTACGTGTAAACTGCGATCTTGTGGGCAGACTGGGATGGGCGACGTCGAGACACGTTTTGGTTGACGGTGTGGTGATATCGATGTGGCACCGCGTGGCGGTTGGCTTGGTTGCAGTTGAAACGTTTGCGACCGCTCACTTCTTCACGGATAATCAGAAAAGAGATCGTGTTCGCAACGGATGAATTAACCTAAACGGAGCAAAGAATGTAAGGAAAGGCTATATGGATGCTGTAATCAGAGCTCGGATTACTTCGATGCACGGAAAGGAGACACGCTCCTCTAAAACTCGGGAACGGTTTTCGAAGCTGAGGCAGTGTCAGGCCTGAGAAGGACCCTCTATGTTGGATCATCGGAGTGTCGGCTTTCCGTCAAACCTCTACATTCTCTCCTTGTTGGGTCTTTGTTTAGCATATAGGACTTTACACAAGTGAGCAGAGCATCTTTTTCCCTCTCTGACAAACCCCAATCATCGCAAGAAGCCGTCTCTCAGAGTGTCTCAGACGACTCTTTAGTATTTTTTAGTTGGTCACACCATGTGGTCTACTGACAGAACTGAAATCGTGGTTATTGTAGAAGAGACTTGGCACTTACAACGACACACAAAGAAAAGCTCACAGAACACTGTGCACCTTTCGGCTTTTAC